TACATTGAACTTGAAATTAAAAAAAAACAAGTGAAAAAGCATTAAGTTCGGCCGGGCCGAACTTTGGATACCCTCCACCATAGATATACGGACAGGTACTTGAAATGAAAATATAGGGAAAATAACAAAAAGTGGACTCATACCGACTTTTCTACAAACCGATTATGTAAACCATGATATAAATTTCAGAAATTTTTAACGAATAATTATACCCTCAAACTTATGGCTAATGAGGGTGTATACACTTTGACATGGTGGAAATGAGCCTCATCGAAATACTGGTTCTAGACCCCATGTTTCTTTGGACCAAATTTGTTTCAGAAAATTTTGATTTCGTTCAAACTTTGCCCATGTTATTATTTCTTCCAAACTTAGTTCAAGTTCGAAGATGGGAAATATCGGTCCACTCCATTTGGTACCTCCCATAGAGGGGCTGGGTCTAAATGCGGGTTATAGTTCATATATAGTTCATTATCGAACTTTACGTTCTAATTTTTTATCTCGATATATTCCGCAGGTGAAATTTTATATAAAAAGTGGGTTATATGGAGACTACCCCAAAAAGGGGGCGAATATTAATAATTTTTGGTGGGGATATTTGTTACCATATACGACTACAAAATACCGAATTGCAACGCATTCGGTAGAAAAACGCGCTCAAGTACCCCAAAATACCGAAAAATGGGGCTACCCTTATATGAGGGCTATCCAAAAAAAAATTGACCTATATTCATAATTTTTTGTGGAGAGATTTGGTACCTATTAAGAACTCAAAATACTAAATTACAGCCAATTCGGTGCAAAAATATGATCAAAACCCCCAAAATACTGAAAATTAGGAGGTAACGTTATATGGGGGCTACCAGAAAAAGTGGACCCATATTTAAAATTTTTTGTGGAGACATTTAATACCCAATAGGAACCCAATGTACCAAATTTCAGCGGATTCGGATGAAAAACGCGCTCAAGAACCGCAAAATACCGAAAATTGGGTATTTTCCTCCAAGAATCCGGAATGCCAAAATATAGCTTGTACTGTAGAAATTTTGGTAAAAAAAATCTTTAAAAATACCTTAAATATGGCGAGAGCTTTATATGGAGGCTATGCCGCAACATAAATATTTTGTTCACTTTACAAAAATGTTGAATGCCAAAATACAGTAACTTCGGGTGGAAACACGATGTCCCATATTTAGAGATGGCATTTACCGGGGGTGGGTAAATACCGGGTAAATAGCCATTTGAGGGTATTTATTTGGGTATTAACTGTATTGAATCGCTACTAAAACCTCTTACACCCTATTTCCGGGTTTCTGTTATCAAATCGATTCAAAATGGGCAGTTTTATAATCTTATCTTAATATATAAAGCAGCTTAGTGATAAGTAAGTGAGTGACTGACAGATCATCACCCTGACGAAAGGGCTGCAGCTAGAAGCTTGAAATTTTGAGTGTGGGTTGTTGTTGGTGTGTAGGCGTGAGATAAGGGTTTTCTCGAAGGTTTGCGAAAATTCGAACTATAAGGGTACGAAAAGTACTAAAATGTACGAAATATGATACCCGTTGTATAAGGCGGGAAAAGCTAGAATTCTGAAATCTGGGATGTAAGTCACTGATGGAAAGCTAGAAAGATGTACAAAGGGGTTGTTTTTAATTCAACCTCTAAGTGTAGGAAAAGTACTAAACATTACTAAATTTAGTTGTAATTGTATAAATACTGAACATATATAGCTAGAATCTGGAAATTTTATATGCAATACAGGTTAGGAAGTGGTTGATGTATGGAAATGGTTTTAGAAGTTCGTACTTACATGTACGGAACGAACTAAATGGTACAAGATGGATTTAGGTGAACATATAGAGAAAGTGGGAATAAAATAACAGATGGAGTGAATGATTGAAGAAGATTAGGATATTCGTACTTATGGGTACGAAAAGTACTAAATGGTACTAAATTTAGTACAATTTTGGTGAACGGATAGAGCTGAAAACCTGTATATTGGAATTAAAATTACTGTTGTGGATTGAGCTATAGAGACTGTCAAACAAATTGGCCTAGGCTGCCAAATTTTGGCTCACATTTTATACCCTGTGGTACAGGGTATAATGTCTTTGTGCATATGTTTGTAACAGGTTCCTGGTTCCTTTTGAGAATATGCTTAGAATCACTTTCTGAGTCGATTTATGCATGTCCGTACGTCTGTCCATGTTAAATTGTAGACAAAGTGCAGGTCGCATTTATGATCCGAATGGAATAAAATTTGGCACAAGTCACTTATTTGGCCCGACCGATTTTAGGTGAATGATGCACCAAACTTCCAATATCTGTCCGATTGAGACAATATTTGGCACAGCGTACTGAATTAATGTGTTTATTCTCAATATTTTTGTGTAAATACTCAGATATTTTCCCACGTGTTTATTATAAAACTATCCATTTTGAATCGATTTGATAAAAGAAACCCGGAAATAGGTTGTAAGATGTTGTATCAGCGATTCAATATAGTAAATGGTGAATCCTCTCCTAAATGGTGAATATTATTCGACACGACCTATCTTAACATTGATTAAAAAAAAAATAATTTTTTAGCAATTATGTACAGAAAGTGTTTTTTTTTTATTAAATTAGCTACATGCGATTATCTACAACCTAAAATGACGGAAAAAATTGTTTTCAAAATGTCTTATCAACTTTTTGGCGCTGGAAACCTATTGGATCAAAAGGTAACGACAAGCATTCGCAAACATACGATATTCAGTAGTCAAACATAAATCGGTCTGTAAACATCTCGACTGTGGAAGCGATGGACAAACCCTATTACAATAAGGAAACAAAAATCTGGCGTGGTCCTATAGGAGAGCCCCGCTTCGGTTTAGATGATTCGCTTGGGGCTGTTGCATGGCAGGCCATGCAAGCAAATCCTGATCATATTGTACAGGTGGGTAGACCGGAGGAAAAAGACATTTGGCAGTTTAGATTAGTAAATCATCAATTTTAAATACTACCACCAGATATGCTACCAAAGTGGAAAAGAAATGACAAACAAGGAAATGGCTCAACTGGCACGTAGGGCAGCAGTTTATTATGGAAAACTGAATTTGCAACAAACCGATGTGGTTGGTATTTGTGGCGGTAATAGCGATTATATAGCTCCCGTATTTCTTGGTGCAGTGGTCTCGGGTCTTTGTATCAGTAGCACTGATCCCAGTTTTAATGAAAAGGGTCTGAAACACATCTATTCCATGACCAGACCAAAGGTAATGTTTTGTGATGGTGATGTTTACGAAAATGTTCGACAAGCATTGGTGGGTTGTGACCTTCAAGACACAATCATCTATACGATTCGCAATCACATTGACGGTGTTCCGAATGTCATGGAAATTTTGAGTGAAGCTAACGATGATGAAAGTTTCAGGTAAATATAGACTTTGATAAAATTTAAGCCCACACACTATGCAAAACTATTTATTAAGAAGTCTAAAAAAATTGGCCAGTTGGTTGGTTAAAAGTAAAGAAAATAGGACAAAGTTGTGAATATAGAAATGAAAACTCTATAATTTAGAAATAAAGAAAATTAATTTTTTAAACAAAAATAAGTTGAAATCGATTGAGAATTGCGAGTGAGAATACTATTGACAATCGGTAACATTTTACAACCTCCACCATAAGAAATATGGAAAATATTTCACCAAATATGGAAAATATTTCACACGACTCCCACAGTTCTTCAGCATGTATTTTTTTCCGAAATTAAGGGGAAACACATACGAGGATTCAGGCCTGGCATGTCAAACTTGATTTTTTACGCCGCTCTCCTTTATTATTTTACAATAAAAGAAGCCAACTTAACATGCTGATGTCCTCTTATGTGTTTCTATTTATTATCAAACGTTATTGTTATGGCGTATTTTAGAAGATTACGTTCATGGCCCAATAACAAGGTCGTCCGATAAGGGCAGACGACCTGGTTTTCTTTTTCATTGCTTATTCATAGTAGGAGGGGTTCTCCGAGTGTGGATTAGTTACCCAACGCCTCAACCCATTTTTTATAGTTCTTATGTGTGAACTCGTAGCACATATCAGCTCACTATTTCAATGGGTGAATAAAGTAGCTACCCCAGGTAACACCGCGGAGAGGTCAGTGCCCACAATTGAGATGAAAGAGGGATTAAGATAAGCCTGGACTTTGCCATCTTAAAGACAATCAAAGCAGTTGCTTGGTATCCTCTACGTAACCCATATGCAGCTTTAGGCAATATTAAAATAGGCGGTGCCTTTATATGGGGGATATATCGAACATCCTAAATGTTGAAGCAATGTATGAGCAATTTCGGAGCTCTATCTATAATATTGCAAGCATTACTAAATCGACATAGAATTTTATTTTGATGAAGAAGAATATAATAATACTTTATACCCCATAATGTACCGACAAATATTTCGAGGGGTGACAAAGGAAATGATAAATTTTATATATGACGATGGATGATTTCTTTTTTATAATTTGTTTCAATTTATAATTGTCGTTCCTTCGAGTTACGACTGAACTTTGAATATTGATTTAATTGACTTCATTTTATTTTCGTGTCTTTTTAGTGTACCTAAACTTAAGCATGGCGCTATGCAGGATGCATTCTATCTTTGTACATCAGGATCTACGAGTTTGCCGAAGGTGGTGCGCATGTCTCATTATGCTGTTCTCAATCAAGTTTTAAGGTATGCTTTCAAACTTTCTACAATACTGTGATATTAATCCATTATATACCGGCTCTTACAGTAACGATTCTACTAGAACACAGCACATCTTGGTATTTAGCAGCCTATATTGGTATTTGGGTATTTCAACGCTTTTGAAAGCTATTTCTAATTGTGAGACCCGTTATATCTCGGAAAATCCCTTTACACCACGCGATTTTGTCGACATTATCCGAAAGTATAAAATACCCTTTGTGGGAAGTTCGCCATCGCACATTCCCCTCTGCTTGGCCAGCCCGGAAATAATGCAAGACAGCGACTTGTCCAGCTTGAGGGTAATGTTCGCCACGGGCAAGACACTTCCACATGCGGTCGTTGAAAAATTTAAAGAATATGCACCGAATTGCATTTTCCCAACCATGTATGGCATGACCGAGGTTTGTGGCGTCGTGACGATGACAATAATTGATCCCACAAACACCGTGGGTACTGTTATGACCAATACCGAAGTGAAAATTTTAAATGATCAAGGGGAGAATTTGGGACCAAATGAAACGGGCGAAATTTACATACGCTCTAAATTTATCAGCTCCGGCTACTATTGTAACCCCGAGGGCACCCGTAAAACATTTGTGGAAGATGGCTGGGTTCGTAGTGGCGATATGGGCTATTTCAACGATGAGGGAAACCTGTTCATTGTCGATCGTCGCCAGGATATTATGAAATATAATAATTATCACTTCTCACCCGGTAGTATTGAGAAGGTTATTTCAGAGTTATCCGATGTGGCTGATGTTTGTGTGATTGGAATTCCCGACTTGACCTATGATTTTCTACCGGCAGCTGCGGTCGTTAAACGTCAAGGTTCCAATATTACCGAATCGGATATTTGTCAATATGTTGCCGAACGTATGCAGCATTTTGAAAATTTGCACGGTGGTGTGTACTTCTTTGAGAAGCTTCCCCAAACGGCATCGGGTAAAACAATACGCCGTGACGTAACGGAAATGTGTGTGAAAAGTAGATAAGCTAATTTATAAACGAAATCAACGCAGTGAATTTGAAAATGAATAACACTATATTTATAATATTAAAAGTTATGATTAATTTTTAGTTTATATGTACGGATGCAATTGTCATTTAGATAAAAATCCGTCAATGGAATATATTTTCATGTCGTACATATTATAACCAATGAAATATAAGGTGACCTAGATGTGGGAAGAAAATAAATATAAAAAACGTTGAGAATATTGGCGGTGATATGAGTTTTTATTTAATATATAATATTCGTCAATACATTTACGTAGCGATTAGGGTTTGGGAATTCCCGGCTTTTTTTCATTCCCGGGAAATCGGGAATTCAAAATTTTCATTCCCAGGTACCCGGGAATTCCTGGGACTTTTCACAACCTTTGTATTATTATTAATTAAAGGGTAGGAATGATATTATATTAATCAAATAATTAGAAATATATTAAAAATGACGTTCTACGTCATTGTACTATAACACTCACTTTTAATAAAGCTTATTTCTTAAAAAAAACAACTACTTTGACAAGGCTTTGATCTTATAGGGGTTGATTTTGCAACCATTTTAATTTAATTTCCAAACATGTATACCTTTGGAATATCTTCACCACTACTAGATGACCAGATTCCACTTCATTGAAAACCTAAATAACACATCCGTATTCCCCAAACTATCTGGGCCTCTTAAAAACTTTAGTTTAGATATAAATTTTATGTCACGTCGGTCACTTATTGTTTCTTTTTGTAATATCTGAGGAATTGAATGGTCGATAGATGTTTGTTGATCTTACGATGTTTTCAAGACAGCATCAACAATAATTTAAATGTATGGCATGATTCCAGCAAAATAACCCTTCAATAGGACATTCAGAATAAATTTTCTCATTACGTTCGCTCTATCTGAAACAGTTGCTACAACGTGGATTTCAAAACATAATTCCAGCACTTTTTCTTCAATCATTTTCCGAATTTCGAACCTGTCTATTATATAAATCGGTTTTAAAATGAGCATCTTCCACTTATACACACATTAGAATCTCCCCTTGTAGTTGTTGTAGTATCGATAACAAATAATACATTTTTAAAATTTTAATTCCGTATTAATATTTATTTAGAAAAACAATTTCCCGTTTTCCGGGAAATCCCGTGAATATCAATGTCAAAAAAATCGGGAAATCCCGGGAATACCGGGACGGGAATTCCCGACCCCAAATCCTAGTAGCGATACAAAATTTACATGATCGACTAAAATAATATTAATGTTTGTTTTTTTGTTTGTTTTTTTTTCCACTTAAGTCAATTTAAGGGAACCCCCCATTCTCGATTTTAATTTTTCAAGATTTTCAATGGGCTGGTAAATGAATACAAATGCTTGTTAAGGTTTGTAACTTTGCACATATATAATTGAAAATTTAAAAGAGAAGAAAAATAATTTACAAAAATTTTTTGTTATTGTTTTGTTGTTGTTTTTTGTAATTTAAGAAAAATCCTTATTTTTGATGGCGGGCATGTTAACTCCTCACTGGAACATCGGAATCCCAAAATTCCAACGGTGTTAGAAAGAGTACATGTCTGGCTCTCGCTCTAAAATTAACAAAATGGTGGACCTTTGAAAAAATATTTTTGGAAAATCGCCGATTTTTTACGAAAAACCAAATTAAAAAAATAAGGAAGAACTTCACCGATTGGCTTTATCCTAGTTCATACGATAGCTATACACTCCCAAAGAAACGTTGCAAAATTTGGAACCGATTGGATTATTAGTTTTTGAGTTATCGTGCCCGCCATTCGCAAAAAAATGTTTAGAGAAAAACGCGATTAAAGTTTGAGAAGCCCTTCAGCCGTCACTTGATGCTGACACAATAAATCGGCTATATCTTCAAGAGTTCTTGAGATTTTCACTTGAAATTTTGCAGAGACATTCTTTAATCAGTGTAGATTCGACTTATGTAAACAAAAATGTGGACCCCGAGAATGGGGGGGGGGTCCCCTTAAGTAGACACTTACTAAAATGTGTGAATTTGTCCGATCTTAGGACAACTGAAATATATCAATGAAAGTCTTTTAAATTGATATCAATAGGTCTCAAATTGCGATTTTGTGCGTTAAATGGGAATATGTTCGGTTGTGCGACTAAAGTAGCAATTTACAATCTTTTCGATGGTCTGTGTATTGTATTGCACTTTTCATGGGAAAATTCAAACTAATTTGGATTCTTCTATGTTTCCAAGGGAACGACTGTTTGTGCAACCTTTTTAAAATTCCCAGCGCACAGTTGTCGCAATCACAAAATTTTTGGCCAAAATTATTTTTTTGAAGTTTCATATTTTTATAATTTTTTTGCGCGGAATAATAAAAAACACTTCAAACCATCAGAAAATAATTGGTTTTTCTAAATACCATTAATAGCCGCTCGTTGGTGTAATGCTAAAGTTGAAAATTTTTTGTATAAAAAATAGAACAAACTGTGTGCTGTAAAATATATACTTTTTGGTGTGCTGTGTGGTCGAATGGGTATACGAAATTCAGACCAAAGTTATTATGAATCTGGAAGCTGATAATAAGTGCTTTCATAATATATAAAGAAAGAACGAAGAAAGTTGTAATATCTGGGTAGGGAGATAAAAGTTTGTGTGTATATTGAAAATTATTTTTTACAAATATTTTTGAAATCTTGTTAAACTTTAGAAAAAATGTAAAAATATCGTCTCCTCCAAAAAATTTTTGGAAGCTGGCAGGGGTATGTACTATCATATTCAGATGAAATATTTTGCCTTATTTTGCCTTTTTTAGAAAAAAATGTATTTTTCTACTTTAAGTTGAGTGAAATTTTTTATAAATTGATGTTTTTATTGTATATAGTATTGAACTGAAAATGTGGGATAAAGAAAAAGTTTCATCCGATTTTTCTTAAAATTGATATTTAAGGTTTTAATAGTATAAAAAACATGTCTGCAACATTTTTTGAAAATTGGCCCACACTGTGACATAGCCGTACCGTCCGATTTAAGATATATTAAAGATGCTGCTGAATGCAGAAACAAAATATATAAAAATGACAGATTATTACACGCTATTTAATAGAGCAATGGATACATCTGATCCACTTATATCATCTATACGCCTAAACGCCCACTTACAAGAAAGAAAGCGGTAAAACCTGCCATCTGAAGTAATCGAATTGTTAGTTTGTGAACTAAACAGTGAATTACGGCCCGCGAATGATACTGGTTGTGATGAAACCACAGATGAAGAATTCGAAAAAGAATATGGCGATGAAAATATAGTTCTGGAAATCGAAATATCTACATATATTTAATAATTAATTAATTTAAAACTTAATACAGTTCTTTTATTTTCTTTACTTAATAGTATAAAACAACCTTCTTAAGCCTGTTTTAAGTCATACTTTTATAAAAAGAGTAAATTTTGAATTATGTTTACCGCATTTCATTTTGTTTTACAACTCATGTTTGTACTAAAACATCACATTTTGTACCCTAACATTTGTATGCCTTTTCATATCTAAAAACCTAATAAATAGTACTATATTGTACCTTATGATTGCAGAAACGCGTTTTAACGGATTTGCAATAAATATTAATATTATTATAATAAATATTAATCTATTTATAAACGAAAAGTATACATTATGTTGTATTAAATAATTTTGGCCAAAAAAAATTGAATTGGGACAACTGTGCAGCGGTAACACTGCTTCCAGGCCAAAACGGAATATCAAACTACAAAAACTAAGGTTGAGCTAGGACCATCAAAATACCGAAAATGACGCGTGATGAAATTGTTGATATCGTTATATATTAGCCAAACAAAATGGGTTACTGAAAATTTTTGGTGGGAAGATTTGTCAATCAATGACAATCCAAAATATAAAATAGCAGTCCATTTTTTGGAAGATGTACCAAAATCCCCAATATGTTAGTACCTACCGTTATGTGGGAGCTATTTAAAAAAAAGTTGTCCAAAAGAAGTACAAGAAGAGCATAGGTTGTGGACAAAATATTTAAAATTCCTTAAAATTTTGATTGTTTCTTATACGTGTAAATGTTTTCGAATTGAGTTGTTTTCATTTTAATTGTACCCGGCCCAGCCCCGGGTTTCTTGTATCGCATATTCAGATTAGGAAAAAAGGTGTTTTTTGTAAAGTTGTTATCTTATTTTCAAATAAAGGAGGGTGCGGAAAGGACCCAGTTCCACCCTCATACAAATTGGAAAGATGCTATTAAATGCTTCACCGTCCACGAAAAAAGAAGTATCACAAACATGTGATGATGAGAACTTAGGCTTTTATATCGAGAAGGAAGGAGGTTTCAAAACGTAAAGAACATGTTACGGACAAACATGCTTCAGATATATTGAAAGAACAAAAGTATAAAGTTAAAGTGGCCATTGAGATAATTTTATTGTGTGAAAGGGAGGACATCGCCTTGAGGAGAAGTTAAAACCTGTCGTTAGACGTAAACTTAGAAAATGTTTGGAGAATACACCCTTAACAATTCAACATACCTCAATCCCAGAATACAGAACGAGTTAATAGAACTAATTGGAGAATACATCCAGAAGTCTATTCTTAAAGAAGTGAAAAGTGCTGTATTCTTATCGGTTTTAGCGGATGAAACTATATATTTATAATATTTTTGACAAGGCACCTAAAGAAGTCAAAGAATGTTTACGTTGAATTAGAAGGATTAACAGGAAAATACTTTTCGATCGTCATAATAAACACAGAAATCAGTTTGGATCAAGGATATGACTGTGCGTCTAACATGTCAGGAAATTTAATAGGGTATACATTCATTATTCTTTTTACATTTTAAAATTAAGTTTAAATGCAGCTTCAAAGATTCAAGAAATTCGAAGTATCTTTTTTACAATTTTCGAGATGTATTTATTCGTTCGAAAATATCCACTACTTTATGTAGAACATTTCGAGAAGCAAATACATTTTTCAAACGACTACATTCATATAGTAAAA